TAAAAAAAAGTTATGCTTACGTGGCTTATCTTCTTCTTGCTCTTTTAAAGTAACCCCTTGACTCTGCTCCTTCCATAAACAACAACTCTCTTACCAATCTCAAACATTTCTCTCTCTTTATTCTTCTTCTTCTCCTTCTCCTTCAACTTCAGATTTCAGATCTTAAATCTTCAAGTCTTGTTCTTCTTCTGCGACCATGGCTATGCAGGTGTGAGATCTATCTATCTTCTTCTTATTCTTATGCAATCTTGCTTTTGGTTTTGTTACTATTGTTATGTTTATTGGACAGAGGTTGTTATGGAATCCAGACAGGTTTAACCTAAACTTAGGTTTCTGTCCGAGAGAAAATAGGTTTTTTGTTTTGTAATTTCAAGTTTAATCTCTTTGTCTGAGAGAACTTGGAACTGAAGATTATTCGATTGTCGCAGGTTAAAATTGTGTTAATAGACCAGGCGATTTGTGGGATATTATGGTCGGTTGTTTTAAAAGAGAGATTACTTCTTTCTTAATGTATTGATGCGTGTTAGGTAAGAGCAAGTCTCTAATCCCCTAATTATTACTGGTGGTCTAACTCTTCTAGATGCGTATTAATTAGTTTTATAACACTCTTTCTAACAATTATTTCAAACTTAATTACAATATTAAGAGACTAATTGTATTTTTTTGGATTTGTGATTATAGGAACGTTGTGAGAGTTTATGTGATGAGCTTATATCTTCCACAGATGCCTTTTACCTCAAGGTACTAATTGTGTTTCTTATTCTCTTGTTTGCTCTTGATTGGTTTCGATGTTTAATTGGTGTTTTGTGTTTTGTTATAGACAAGAAAGCCTTATACCATTACTAAACAAAGAGAGAAATGGACAGAAGCAGAGCATGAGAAGTTTGTAGAAGCTTTGAAACTCTATGGCAGAGCTTGGAGACGAATCGAAGGTGTGTGTGCTTATCTGACTTTAGAGAGTCTAATGCACATTCTAAACTAGGTTTGATGAGGATATAAGAAAACTACTTGGACCCTAGTAATGAGTCAACTTATTGTGTAGAGATCTGACTTTTGTTGATTCTTCCTTGAAACAGAACATGTTGGAACAAAGACCGCGGTTCAGATTCGAAGCCATGCTCAGAAGTTTTTCACTAAGGTTTGCCTTCTTGCAGACCTTATACATGAAAATGTTTCAACCTTTTCGTGTTAATCAAGGTCTAATTCAAGTTTTTTTTCAATAGGTTGCACGCGATTTTGGTGTTAGCTCTGAGTCCATTGAGATTCCGCCTCCGCGGCCGAAAAGAAAGCCGATGCATCCTTACCCTAGGAAGCTTGTGATTCCGGATGCAAAAGAGATGGCATATGTTGAACTAACCGGCTCCAAGATGGTTCAGGATGAAGATAACCGATCTCCAACATCGGTTTTATCAGCTCATGGCTCAGATGGATTAGGTTCCATTGGTTCAAATTCACCTAACTCTTCTTCAGCTGATTACCAACAGGGACATGAGTTATCATCTCACACAGAGGAATCACTGTCTCCAGAAGCAGAGACCAAACAAAGCCTTAAACTCTTTGGAAAGACTTTTATAGTTGGTGATTACAACTCTTCAACAAGCTCTGATGATTCTGAAGATCTCAAGAAGAAGCTAGACTCAGAAACACAGTCTGTTCAATGTTCTTCTTGTACTTCGGAAAACGCTGAAACAGAAGTGACCCGATTGGTAGTATCGGAGTTTAAAAGAAGCGAGAGATCAGCTTTCTCTCAGTTGAAATCGTCGGTGACTGAGATGAACAACATGAGAGGGTTCATGCCTTACAAAAAGAGAGTAAAGGTGGAAGAAAACATTGACAATGTAAAAATGTCATATGCTTTGTGGTGAAAATGTTTGTTTGTGTAAAGCTTTCTCTAAGTCAGTTGTGTAATTCTTTTTGATCTCAACTTCAGATGATGTGTATAATGTCAGAGAATTAGGGAAAGTTTTTTTGGATTTTGATTCGTAAGATCACTCCAAAGTTTCGAGTCTTTCCATATAACCAGTCAGAAATTGAGATCCCTTGTACTTAAAACATTTTTATTTGATCAATCAAATCTTCTTCATAACGCTAAATTGTTGAGCAATGGTCTCTCCTTCATTGCATTGTTACATATTTTTAGTCCTTATTTAGCACTTCATACTAAAGGATAGTGTTACATTTTTATTTGATCAATGAAATCTTCCCTCATAAGTCTTAAAATTTCTTGCTGCAAATGGATTAAAATGGCTAATAACAAGAAAAAAAAGATTAGGTTTATACCAAAAGTTACTAGTTACCAACAAATAATACATCAAAGCAAATTTGATACATAGAAAGAGTAATGCATCATAACAATAACTAATTAAGAATCCCTCAAGAAATCGAACACGTCATTACAAATTACGTCTTAACATTTAGTCCCCTAAACCCTAACCTAATCATCAAGTCTCTGTCAAGGCTTTACTCTGTTTCATGATCTTCCTCGTAGGGTACTCGTCGACACAATGGACACGACCTCTGTCGCTTAAACCACTCAAAGATACAACTTTGATGGAACAAATGATAACAGTCAGGCAACAGAATGATGTTATCATCTCGACTCTCCGAAAAGTCCTCCATACAAATCGAACAAGTCGTTTCTTCTTCATCTCCCAAACCAGTCAATTCCACTGTTTGTTCCTCAAGCAATCTTTGAAACATATCTTTCGACCGAACAGCAATAGACGGTAACATAATTCGAACATCTCTTATCACTTTCACGTAAAAGGTCACACTAAAAGGTTGAGGAAGAGGAGCACAATCCAAAGCGATTCTTTCACTCAACATTCGACAAAACTGAGGATTTGTGATGAACACGTCAAGGTGTTGAGAGATGTAATGTGAACAGAAACATGATGGTTTCAGTTCGATTCTAGACATAAGTGGATCCGAGAACGTTCCCAAATACGTTACGATACCGTTTTGATCTTCAGCTAACTCGTTGACCACATTGTGCAGACAGACGAACACTTTGTTTTCAAACCCTAGATGTTGTGGTAGGAGCAATGCTTTTGTAGTAACTTTTACAAAAGTATCTATATTCATGGTGAAAGAAGAAGATTTTCGAACCCTAAATTTTGTGAAATCAAAGAGAAGAGATCGATGAAATTGACTTATGAGAGAGTGAATTGGTTTCTTTCAGGTGAGGCTGAGTGAATTATTATATAGAGATAGATTTTACGTTTGGCTGCTTCAGTTTAAAGAAAATGGAAAATATATAAAATTTGTTGACGAAAAGGGAAAAAACCAATTTGGTCGAGTTTAAGAAAAGGAAAACATGAATTTAGTGAAAAAAATGAAAAAGGAAACAACCAATTAACGGTCGATTTTTTAGATAAAAAGGAAATTTAGATCAACAAAATGCGTTATTTATTATTAAGTGACTAAAAAGCTAGAGGACAAATCAGATCGTTTCACATTATTTTGCAACATTACTATCTCTATAAACCAATAAATAAAAAATCGTTTCACATTATTTCGAAACCAATTTGGTCCTAAAAAAGGAAAACATAAAAACCAGTGGTCCGGTGGATTTGGTTTAAGAACCGGAATTTAACCAATTTTGACCCCAAAAAAAACTGGAATTGAACCAATAAAATAGTTTGGAACTGATGAATACGGTTTGTTCCGGTTTAATGGATCAGATTTGAAATTGTCTAAAAATAGTATTATAGAAACCAGTGGTTTTGGGTTAGTAACCGGAATATAACCAAAAAATAGTTTGGTATTGGCTTCGGTTTATTCCGGTTTAGTGGGTCAGATTTGAACGGAGAAGTTGTCAATTTGCTGAAATCGCCGCCACTTAAGAGAGAGAAAGAGATCTGAGAGACCCCTAATGGAGTTTAGATAGACGATGCGGGATTTTCTAGGGCATGGTGGTGTTGCCTTTTTAGAGTTTTTTCTGGTAGCTGAGAATCAAGTAGTGATCATTTGTTGTCTACAATTTCTCTTATTGTTTGTTTGTTTTTTTTTTTTTCATTCTTGGATTTGAAGTTACTAACAAAAATCTCTTTGCCTCTTGTGAAAAATATTGCATATGAGCTTATGGAATTTCAGCATTGTAATTGTAATAATGTTCATTACTATGATCCTCAAATCATGCCTTTTTAGATTGTTTTGTTGCTGGAAAAATTGGCTTGCTTAGGTTTGTTTATCTGATTAGTTGTTGTTGCAGTTAAAAGAGGGTTACATAGAAAGAATGACAGAGATAGTGTGAGGATAAGCATGCCTTAGTTTCCTCTTTTCAGGAAAGGGACATTGTGATTGTGGGCTGTGGCAAAGGAAACCGCATCCAAAGCGATGAAAGATGCAAATCTGTGGAAATTTAGTAACCAAACCAAGGAGGACCAACAACAATTGAATGAAGCTTGGACAGTTGGGCAGATCCACCCCTTGAAACTAACCCAAATGGTGATCATATCCTCTGTTTTTTTTTTTCAATTGACAAAGTAGTACCCTAGTGGCTGCAACCCTTCAATGGGGTTCATGTGCCAAAACGAGTAAGTTGTTATCTTAAATGAATGAAGCAGGTTGTTGAGTTAAATATTGCGTGACCAGCTTAATTACAGTTGAATAACAGGTGCTTTCTGGATTCTGCAGTTGAATTGCAGAGCAGAAGAAGCGGAACAGTAAGAAGACCCCACGGATAATACTATCCTTTGTTTGGCTTGTTCAGTCTCCATTTTGTGTTACGGTATTTTGACAGAGCCATGAGTTATCATCTCACACAGAGACCAAACTAAACCTTAATCCCTTTGAAAAGACTTGTGTATAATTTGCTCTAACCACACTATATTATTGCTTTACTTATTGCATTATAACATTATTTGTGTTTCTGTCTCAATCTTCTCTGGTTTCCATATTAGAGATGTGGTGGTTTGGGAACAGTAGTTATAATTATTCAACCTGTATTCATGCTACATATTAAAGGATCAAAGTGACACACAGTTGGTGACACATTGCTTACAAAACATATATCAAAGGCCAAACAATACGAAAACAAGCAAGACTACGTTACATACGAATCCCACAAGAAGTCAAAAACAAATTTCAAAACCGTTACCTAAACATATACTAGAATCAACCCTAAGCCTAATTAGCCTAATCTTAGAGTCTCTGTTCATAAACATTGATACATACGGAAACAATAAAGAATTCAAACAGATTTACACTAGAAAACAAACCTCTAAAACCCTAGCCCTAATCTTGATCCTCTTCGAACGGAACTCTGCGACACAAGGGACACGAATTGTGACGAGCAAGCCACTCAAAGATACAGTTTTGATGAAACGAATGCAAACACTTAGGCATCTGAATGATGCTGTTATGATGACTCCCCGATGACGATTCAGACAACTTCTCAAAACAGATTGAACACGACTCATCCAAATCCCTGGCCGGTTCCACAGTTTGTTCCTCAAGCAATCTCTGAAACACATCCACGGGAGCACAACTCAACGGAGCAGAAACAGAGGACAAAACAAACCGAACCTCTTTGACGACTCTCACGTTCACCGACATGAGAAAAGGTCTTTGATAAAGAGTGTAATTAGCACGTGAAAACCGACAAAAGGAGATTTTCTCAGCCAAAAATTCACAAAAAGGAGTCTCACGGTTAAGTTGACGACGAAGGAGACGAGAGAGCTTTTCTGGTAAGAAGCTACGTGGCTTCAGGAGAACACTAGAGATTGGAGACAGTGATGCCACATACGATGCCACGTGCGTTGTTCCAGTAACATCTTCGAGCAACTCTTCGATCACTTCGTGTAGTTTGATTATGACTGCACTCGTGAACCCTAGATTCGGAGGTAGGTTCGACATCCTCGTAGCCACTTGTATTCTCAAAGTTTCGGTTTCCATGGTGTAGAAGAATCGAAGAAGAATGAATCAAAACCCTAGTTTCGTTTGCGACAAGAAAGAGAAGAACTTAACACACAAAATTAAAAAAGTCAGAGATCGAAGATGATGAATTGTGCTAAGAGAGAAACAGAGAATGAGAGTGAATTGTTTGCTTCAGGTGATGCTAACTACAAGTGATTATATTTATAGAGAGATTGGCCTGACGCGTTTTTGCTAGTTTCCATTTTTTCTAATCTATATAATCCATGTTAATCTTGACCGTTAATTCATTGTTTCCTTTTTTTCTGTTGTTAATCTTGACCGTTAATTCATTGTTTCCTTTTTTATGATGTTAATCTTGACCGTTAATTGATTGTTTCCACTTTCCATTTTTCTTTGTTAGATGATTGTACCGGAATTTAACCAATAAAATAGTGTGGTAGTGGTTCGGTTAGTTCCGGTTAGCGCACCGGAATTCAAATTGAACCGGAACAAGCAGAGGAGTCTTGACTAATCTGGTTTTAATATACTTGTCATGTTTTTTCTGTGTGTCTGTGTCCACTAATTGTGTGTCTGTGTCTGTGTCTGCAGAAATGTTTAGAACTTGTGGCACCAAGAAGGGATTTTATTAAATGATGAACCCTGAGAATCTTGCTATACTTAGAAGGATTAGATTTATAAAGTCCCAAATCCTCAGAACTTGGGAATGCTATTGTTAACTTTTCTCAAGCAGTGTCTGATGGGCTGCTGATATTTTTCTCTTCCTATTACCCTGTGGAATGTTGCATTGCATTTGGAAAGATGTGTGTTACAGAAACTCTAGAAAAGTTAACTATGGCATTCCCTAGTTCTTGGAATTGGAAGCAATGCAGGACTTTTCTGTGCCGTTTGTCGTGGAAATGGTCAGTGAAAGACTGGATTTTTCTGGACATTTCTTTTGTTTGATATAGTGTCTGACATTCTCCAAGTAGACAAGAAACAGTGGTCGATCTCGGCTAAAAATATATATGCTTGTTTTGTTGACAGATTTGGCAATCTTAGGCTCTTAGCAACCCAAGATCTCACTCTAGATACGACCTGTCTTGCCTCTGCCTTTAATGGAGAGTAAGTTTGTTTCCGGGTACATCGGTTTTGCAGTGCTACTCTACATATGGAGAGGTTATTTCTGACCTTGCTTGATTTTTCTCGACTGAAAGATAAAAATTTCTTGCAATGCTTGTTACAGAACAAGAGAACATTATAGGTAATGCATCTTGCAGCTAAAAGATAACTTCCATTGGGCATTATTTATATCTTTGTCTCCCCTCCTGTTTTTTTATCCCCTTGTGATTTCAATTATGTGTTGTGTTTGGGTGTTGTAGCATGATATCCACAAGAACTTTGTGACCTCTCGGTTAATTGGTGCGTAAACAAAAACGATATAGTCATTACTAATAGTATTAGAAGATATTAGTTTTTCATTGAGATTTTAAGATAATCTGCACATTGTTATAATGTGAATCTAGCTTAAACTCGCTATGTTGCAAGTTTGCTTTGGGTGTTTGATCTTTTGCAGGTAATGGTAGTGTGGAGAACGTTAAGGTTGCACAAAATGTGTTGAGTAGATTGGAAACATTTATAATTTATTTGTGAAGAACACCATTTATTTGTGTTGAAGTAACACTCTTTTTATAAACCGAACCAAATGCAATATGATAATCTAAAGTTACTTAGTTTGCAAATGACCAAACAACCAAAATCCTTTTCTTAAGCCACTTTTCTTGCTTCTTGTTCTCCTTCTCCTATAATGAAAACATGACAAGAATAAATGTCACAAAATAATTTAGTATATTTTTTTAAATTGTGTAATTAGTTTGGTTGATAATTATAATATGCATATTCTCCATTCTCCACTAAAAATTTTCTTAGTGGTCAACAAATAAAGATCTATATAAAAAGAAAACAAATAAAGATCAGTAATTTCAAAATGAATTGAATACAAAATCAGAATTTATGGTTAGTTATGATTTTTTTGGAACTCTTCACTTGAATAAGCGACGATCGAGAAATCTGAAATATATTCATCAATAAGATCGAATTAAACTATCAGAAACAAAAGAGATGAAAATTGTAATAAGGAAAATATATATATATATTTTTTTGTCAACAACTTTATTGGATTGGTTCAAATAAGCTGGAGGAATATTGTTTACATAAGTAGATAGTTACGGTAGGGTACGAACATTTCGTGCCAATTTATCCGCCTTCACATTCAAATTTCTAGAAATTAACGATAAAGAGAAAAAATCAAACTCCTCCTTGTCGCTCTGAATCGCCTCCAAGTAAGTCGCGAACGCTGGCCACTCTTGTGGGGAAGACACCATCTTCACCAAATCAGAGCAGTCTATAAGGAAAGCTACTTCTCTTTTATCTTGGCCGATCATACATCTCATCGCCCAGATTAGTGCTTCAACCTCTGTGTGGAGTGAGGTCAAGCTTCTTCGAGTATTTGCAGCTCCCATGTCGTGCGTTTCTTCGTTTGGATAAGAACAAAACCATCATAATCCTGAAAAACAATCACTTTCTTTCCAAGAACCATCTAAGAAACATCGATAACCTGATCTATTATGCTCGATATGTTCCACTCTACAATGAGATTGATTAATTGTTGCCACCGTTTCTAGGTTATCATCCGAGATCTCTACCTGAGCCAATTGCCAGGCTTGCTCTTTATTTTCTGCCAATCTTAATATATCAATTGGGCTTTGGTCCATATTATTAAACACCTTATCATTCATGGCTTTCCACAAATACCAAATAATCCACGGAAACATCGATGTATAGACCTCTGAAGGTGTTCTCCAAAATAAATAATCCATATTTATATATAGTGAACCTGATGGGAAAATATCCGGTGTTGTGGGGATCTGTGATAAAGCCCAAGTCTGACACGCAGGTGGACATTCAAAGAAAGCATGGTTAATTGACTCTTCTGAAGCCCCACATCGATCACATCTAGTATCACAATTAATACCTCTCCTGCCCAGATTTGATGTAACCGAAACACATGTAGTTAAAGCTTACCACATAAAATGTCGTATTTTTGGCGGACATTTTATTTTCCAAATAAACGCTTGTAGCGGTTTAATGTCAGGTCCAAATTCTTGCAAAATAGAGTCCGTGTGATAAGGAAAATATTTGTTTCGCAAAATATTGTAAAAAAAGTTTTTTTTTTTTAATTTTCGCAAAAAAAAGTTTTTCTTATTTATTTTTATTTTTTTGTTAACAGTTAAAACCCTAAAACCTTTTGGATTCCCAGGAACTTCTTCATCTTCTTCTTCGCGCTCGTCTCCTTCCAATTCCAGTCTCGTTTCGAATAATGGCTAATCGCGAAAAAAATTCCTCACCGGAGATTCATTGCGTCTATGTAGAAACCAACCTCGACACTCGTCTCGCGTTACCCGTACACAAAGATGAAATCATCTCCGATTTCAAAGGTGACAAAAAAAAATAAAAAAATCCACTACTCTCTTCTCAAATTCATCTCTAAATCTCTTCATACGCCATTGAAATCGACTTCTAAACTTATTGTTACTTCGTTTCTCTGATTATTGTGGTTTGTTTGGTTTATAGACAAAGTACTCAAGGAGCATAAAAAAGTTTTCCCAGAAATTGGAGAAATTCATATCTCTGCGTTGAAGGTAATGGAGTTTTCTGCTTTGTTCATACATTAGGAACAAGTATAATTGATGAGTGGTTTTTTTTTTTTTTTTTAAGGTTAAACGACGAAGGAAATTTTATCATTTCTCGGAATCTTTGAATGTGTGTAAGGCTTTTGATGGGATTAGTAGAAACTGGTTTATGTATGTTGATGCCGTTAGAGTTGACAAGGGTGAGATGTTGACTATAACGGCTGCTGATCAAAATCGTTCGAATCTTGAGTTGGTTGAGAGGAAGAAGGAGATTGGTATTGGTTCAGTAAATGTAGATGGTATGCATACTAAGGGTTTGACTATTGAAGAAGGTTTGGGAACTGAAGTGGTTGAGAAGAAGACGAGGAAGAGGAGGATTTTAAGTTCGGATGGGAAAACAAGTCGAAAGAAATTCAAGGTTGATCTCAATCAATCTGCTGTTGCTGCTACTCCCGAGTTATGTGGAAAACTGCAGGATGATATTATTACGGGAGCAGGTAACCTCTGTTTTGGTTATTATGGAATGTAGTCATTCTTTAGATGTTTTTGGAGTGTGTCAGTTCATTTACCTTTGGTTGTTTTATCTGATATTCTATAGATATTGAAAGCGGTGTTAATACGGGGGAGAATCAGCAAACTTCTGATGCGGACAGGCTATTGGAACAGAAAATTCTCACAGTTAATTCAGAGCTTGAAGATGGGCATACCAGGGGTGAGGTGAAGGATGTACCAGATAAACCAACTGTTAAAGAAGCTCTAGAAAAGCTAGATGATCTTACTGGAGCAATAGAACAAGGTGAATTTTTTTTCTTACTATGATTGAATTTTGGGATCCTTTATTAGCTGTTTTGGAGAGTTATGGTATGCTTACCCTTGAATTTTTTTCTGATTTTCAATAGATCTTGAAAAGGGAGGAAAAACTGCCGATACAGTCATGATTGACCAAGAGAAGGATCTTACACCTTCTTCAGAACTTGTAGATGGGCAGATTACATCACAAAATGATGAAAGAGGTGAGGGACGCAAATTGGCTCCAAGTGTTGTCGATAATCTTCAAACTGATGAATTGGTGACCAACGCGGATAACCAGTTGGAAGCTAGCAGTGGTTTGACAACTGGTCCAGCTACAGAGAAGAAGAGAAAGAGAACGAAGAGCTCAAAAGATCACATCAAACAATCTTTTCCAATCCCAGAAAGAGAAACTCTTGGATATTCTCTTGTAGAAGCAACACAGAAAGGTAATGTCAACTCTACAATCATATTTCAGGGACTTTTGTTAACTCATAGTGTTATTGCTGATTCTGTGTAGAAACTGAGTTGGGTGTGAAATCTGTCGAAGATGTGGTAAAAGATAATATGGAAACTGATACTCTAGTGAGCCACCCGGAAAATCATCTGGAGGCCAACACTGAGTTGACAACCAGTCCAGTTACTGAGAAGAAGAAAAAGCGAAAGAAGATCTCAAAAGATCTCATCAATCAATCTGCTGCTGCCGCTACTGCTACTGCTACCACAGCTTCAAGAGAAATTGTGAACGAGATAAACGGAGTACCTGGAAATGTTGATCGTGTTGTTGCTACTTCTGAATCTTGTCTAATTTCACAAAGAGGAAATCTTGGCAAAGGTAATTACAGTTCTTTACTGAATTTAGTTGTCCTCTACAATCAGACTTCAGGGAGTTTTTATTGTTAACTTATAATGTTATTGCTGATTCTTGGTTGAGTTTTGATATCCTCAAAAATTTCATTGGAAGTATCTATCAACTCATATAATGTTACCGTTCGTTCATGTAGAAAATGAGATTGGTGAGAAGATTAACGAAGATGTGGGAAGCGGAAAAGCTATACCAAGTTCTGCAGATAATATCCAGACCGATAATTTGGTGAGCTACCCAGAAAATCAGTTGGAGGTTAGCAGTGGTTTGACAACCAGTCCAGTTACTGAGAAGAGGAAGAGGCAAAAGAAGTCCTCAAAGAATGACATCAATAAATCTACTGCTGCTACTACAACAGCAAAGATAATTATGAATGAGAGGGAGAAGGTATATGGAAGTATAGATTGTGTTGATGCTACTTCTGAACCTATTCCTAACTCGAAAGGAGAAAAACTTGCCGATACTCTTGTAGACGCAATACAAAATGGTAAATTGGATTCTTGGTCGAATATAGTTCTTCCTTACAATTATATGTCACATGGAGTTTCTATCAACTCATAACTGGTGATTTTTTTTTGTAGAAAATGAGATGGGTGACATATTTGATGACAAAGTGGGAAGTGGAGAGGCCACACTTATGGGTGCAGATAAAATACAAGCTGCGAGTAATCTACAAGCTGCTGGTATGGTGAGCACCCCACATGCCTTTGTCCAGGAATCCAAAACGCTGGATCACATTGGTAAATTTACGGATGAAAACGCGTCCCGTGAACATGAAGTTTCTAAGGAAAAAGTTGAAATAGATGCAGATCAGGCTAAATCTGTGAAGTCTACTAAGAAGAAAAGTTCAAGAAAAGCCAAGACCCCAGCTAAAGAAGATACTCCGGTGGATTCTGGTGCACAGAATGTTGAACCTATCAAAGTTGTAGATGGAGAAGGGCATGATAGTGTTATCAGAAATGTTTTAGATTCTTTGCAGCAAAGGAACGAAGCTGAGGAGAATATAGAGAAAAGTGGGAAGAAATCAAGCAAGAGATCGAAGAAGAAAGACTCTTTGAACATTGTGGAGGAGGCCCAAGTATTAGATTCTTTGCAGCAAAAGAAAGAAGCTGAGGAAAATCTGGAAAAAAGTGAGAAGAAGTCAAGCAAGAGATCAAAGAAGAAAGACTCTTTGAACATTGTGGAGGAGGCCCAAGTATTGTCAGTTGAGGTAAACAATGTTGCTCAGGAGGAGGCTTCTCCCATCAACAACCCAAAAGACGCTGATGCATTATTCACTCCAGCTAAGAAAAATACTGAGAGCAATGCTTCACCTTTGAAAAAGATTACTGAGGTCCCCGATAATACTGAGGATATTAACCGTTCCATGCAAGTTCTGAAAGAGAACACTGATATTGGGGACAATTTTGGTTCTAGCCAAAAGGACGATATTGTTGGTGGTGCTAACAAGCAAGATCAAGTTACTGGTGGAGCTAAATCTAAAAAGGAGAAGAAAAGCCTTGATTTGCATCTTGGTGGTTCCATTGATCTTTCAATGAAACTGAAAGAGACTAAAGGTAGATTCCAACCATCTAGTTCAGGTACTAGTCAATTGCAGTCAAGGGATAAGATTGATCGCAGTCGATCAAAGGTTGATCATTCTGATGCACCCATGAAAGGCGTAGTCAACAACAAGAAGGAAGCTGTGAAGAAAAGCTTTAACTCGGTTACAGTGAACAAGAGTAAGATGAATGTCAACAACAAGAAGGAAGCTGTGAAGAAAAGCTCTAACTCAGTCACAGCGAACAAGAGTAAGACGAATTTCTTCAAGGATGCTGAGGAGGATGAATCTAAGACGACTTTGAATGACTCCACTAAAACACCATCAGATAGTTCATCAGACGATGATAGTGATAGTGCTGTGACTTCTTCTATGCCTAGGAAGCAAGGTATTTTATCGATCCGAATGTAACTTTGATCACACGTTCTCGCTACCAGACATGCTAATTTCGATTCTTGGTTTCAACAGGAAACAATCCGGCTGGAGGAACAAATAGGTAAGTGACAGGTTAAGGGTATTATTATTGTCCATCAAGCTGCACAGACTACTGTCATAAACTCTTTTTGCTCGTCCTGTGAACAGGTTATTGGGGACCCTGCAAGATATCCTAAGAAGCTCAAAAAGTTACAAGGCGGCGAAACTGACAGCTTCTCAATCACAACCCGATGATGAAGATGTTGTCCCAGATAGCCAAGCCATCTAAGTTTTATCGATTATCCTTTTGGATTCAATTTTGACCCAAACCTGAAAAAGATGCTTAAATCTTTAAATCACGGTTTTGCTTGTTCTAACTAAATATTGGTATGGTGCATCTTCTCTGACATTTTATGTTAATCAGGAATGCTTCATAAGAGATTCTATTGCAACAACTAAATGTTAAATCTCTTCTCGGTTGATCCTCGTGTTTGGTTCCATATTACTTGAATCCGAGCTTTCTCGAGCTTCAAGGTAACAAATCCTTCAACTTCAACATGTTAAATCAGTAATCACACATAACACTCACTAAGAATCAATGGTAAAAATCAAATACATTTTGTTTCTTTTTCCCTTTATTATACTTGTAATCACACAACTTGAACATTTACATATATGAAACTACAATACGTATAAATATAAGAACTGAAACATCAACAAGGTTTAGATATTTCCGCAATTCTGACATTAGCTCTCCTTCAAAAGAGAGCTTAAGCACCAAACAACCTGAAACTCAATCGCGACTGTGTTCGCCTCGAGCTGTGAGAATATAAAGAAAATAACAAAATTATAACATGAATATATACTCTTATATAATCTGTAGTAATTCTAAATAAATTAACTTACCCTTTTGATGCTGATGGTTTCACCAAAGGCTTTGGAGGAGGAGGTGGTGGCTGAGGAATATCACTCAATATTTGTATATTTTTCACCTGTTTTAAACAAAAATATGGTTAAAGAAAGCATTTATATATGTTTTGATTCACACAAGTGAAACAAAAAAAGACTAATAATTTTACCAAATTTCGGTATTGAAGATTGTAGAAGGAATGGATATATCTTTGCTTAGCAAGTTTCTGATCTTTGTTCAAATATCTCCAGTAGCTATATGTACTCCCCATGTTTATCACTTTGTTTGCATATATCTTCCATGTATAGCTGCACATATATGATCATTAAATTGAAACTATCTTTATTAAATTAAAACTATCTTTAGATCAGTTTCTTGTGATGCTTTAAGGATATATACCATTCGTTTATGCGTTGCAGCCCTTCAGTCGAAAACATATTCCAATAATCAAGATCGGTACCGGATTTCTCAAAGAAATCCGCAATCTTATCACTTGATTCTTCTCCATTGCTCGGGTCAATGTGGAATCCAGAGACACCATCCACAATAATCTCCGCAGGACCGCCTTGGTTCGTGGCAAATGTGACCAAACCACAGCTCATAGCTTCAATGACAGTAAGACCAAAGGCTTCATAATGTGCAGGCTGCACAAAAGCACCTCTTGTATCTGCAATACATCGGTAAAGTTCACCGTTTCTGGTTCGATCTGTTTGAGCTGCGATCCATCTAAATTGACCCTTGAGTTGGTATTTTTCAATCAGAGAATGCATCTTCTTGATCTCTGAGATCTCTTCCCTGTCTTTAGACTTGGAAGGGTCGAAGAATCCTCCTACGATCACGAGGTTCACCAAGTCTCGCAGCCTCTTGTTCTTAGCATACCACTCAGTTAATCCCGTTAAGTTCTTTACAACATCAAGCCTTGCCATTGAGAAGATGATCGGTTTCTTCTTATCCACCAAATAACCACTATTTTCACAAGAAAAAAGCGGTTAAAAATTAACGCTTGGTGTGAGTGTGTTTACAATTTGGAAAAATAGTTTCTAAAAGTAACAATCAACGAAAATCAGCGATTAACCACTTCTTGAAACCCTATAGTTTTATGACTAAGAAAAGTAAAAAGAGGGAATAGAGACGTACATGTGTTCATCATTCTCATTTTGGCTAAACAAGAGTTCTTCAATGGAAGGATAAAACTTGGTGAATCTCCGGTCTTGTGCGGTAAAAGGGAAGTAGATAGTATCATCCGCACCAGGAGCTGCGATGTTGAACCTCGGATCAAAGACATTAATGCCGGAGACAACTCTGTATAGGCCCGGGAGTGTGAAGCTCATGTGGCTCTCGTATTGTCCCACCCTCTCTTTGCTAACAAAATTCAACCAAACCGGATAATGTTAAACCGGCTCGATTTTTCATTAAATCTTAATGCATTGTCTTAATGAAATTAATTACCTTCCAGCAATCTCTTGATAAGTGCTTGCTATGATGAAATCAGCAGAGTTCATAGAGATTAAGTCTGCCGTAAATTGAGATGAGAAATGATATTTAGGATCAAACTCTTTCCATTTGATATCTGAGTCTTCATATTTAGTCTTCTCCAAGGCATGTGCAATAGTTGCCTGAAATTATATATATTGTTTTTTTGTTTCAATTAGTTTGTTGTGACATGAGTAAATCATTGGTCTAAAATTCACAAATTAAAAATGTAAGGAACCTGAGTAATTCCAAGCGTATTAGCCATGAGTGATGCCACTAAGTTTCCATCCGTATAATTTCCGATGATTAGGTCAGGTTTTCCTTCCAAAATATCCAATATTTTTGTTGTTGCATCCTACTCATAATATTTACAGTTTCAATATGAAATTTCTAGAGAAAAATAACAAAATAAAAGGTGAAAAATATCTTATATGATTTTACCTTAGTGAATCTTTCTAGGTAGGGATATATATCAAAGCGGGAAACCCAACGACGTAAAATCCCACTCTCTGTTACAAATGGAATTCGAAGAATATTTGAATGTTTGGTACCGAAAATAGGTTCCAATTCTTGGTTGCATTTAGTGTTTTTAGCATCAGGGATTAATCGCGTTACCTAAAATCAAATTCTCCACATTAGCCAATGAAACAAAGATGATATTGAGAATTACCGTAAAATACCACATATCAAGTTCTACGTTAAAAAGTAATACAAAATTTGAAAAAAAGATTCATAATCAAGACTCAATTTAAATAGACAGACAAGTGTAATTCGAAGAGAACTTACAACAAGAATCTGAGGTTTGAAATTAAGGCCTTGAGAGTTGATTCTATGAAGCAATTCATCTTCAAGGGCCTTAACTTGATCAAGAATGTAAACGACTTGACCGCCAGTATCAGGCAAACCAAGAACATCGGTTTGGCCAAAGTAGCCGTGAACCGAGAAGATAACAACGTTAAATATTCTAGGAATCCTAGCGAAGAATCGATCAATGTTGTGAGGATCAGGGGCTTGAAGAATCTCCGACAAGATTCTCATTGTCTCCTTAACTCTCCCTGCGCTTTCTCCCCATCCTTTCTCAAAACCCCATTCCTTAAACCTGTTTTCGGTTTTAACTCAAAATTAAACCCGTTAAACAACCGATCGGCTAGCAATGTAAATTTGTGTTAAAGGTTTAACAACCTGAGTTCAAAGGCTTGGAAAGGTGTGTCCTTAGGTAGCTCCGATAGGAAAACATCAGCCAAAATCAAACTCATCTCAAGCTTTCTAGCCGTGTTTAGAGTCTCATTCATCATAAGCTTCTGAAAATTATATAAACATATTTAGGCTACAATTTCTTACAAACTTAATTTGTTTTACAAATTTAAATTTAAGTAAATAATATTATTAGAAAAGGAAAATAAATGTTTGGTTGACAAAAAAAAAAGACGGTCGTATATGTGTATCAGTACTATACTTCACAACTTTATTTTACTTTCTAAAATAGGAGTATTTTAAATGGAAATTTAGAATTTTTGGTATTTTAGATATCTATATTGATTTAAACTGAAATCTAAGTTTTTGTTTTCTTAATTCTTTGCATATGTAAACACAAATGCGAAAACGTCATTTACACCAGGAAACAAAAATCAATGAAGAAATGGATTTGATGGGGATAAAATTCACCTCTCCTTGATGCTCAAGTGACAACAAGTAGTCCACGAGAGACTGCGGGTTATCGTTTAAACGGCTTCCGAGCTTTGAGGACACAAAACTGACGCCGTTTCCTATGGAAGATGGCAATGAAAGCCAAGGCAGAGTGAAATCCAACGCTCCAAAATCAACCTCCAATGCATTTTCATCGTTTGCCCTGTTTACAAACTTCTAATTAGAGCAAGAAAAGGAAAATATAATTTGGTTAAGAAAAAGAGGAGAGACCAATTCTCGTCAAAGAGAAGCTCTTTGAGTTTGAAATATTGTGTGCTCGATAGAGCTTCCACGGAAAGATTGGAAGAGTTAACTTTCGTGTATTGCCATATTCCCGGGTTTCCTCTTACCGCAAATGCTACATTTGGAGGAATTACCACTGCTTCCTGCAGATTCATTCACATTTGTAATGCTAAATTTAGGTCACCATACTTTTTTTGATCAAACCAATATTAGAAATCTCATGCATATCTCTATATATAATGAGTACAACAATGAAGAGCAAAAAACTATAACATAGCTTTCCCTCCAAATAATGGTTAAACAAAATAAGTTTGACTTTTGGCATACAATTGTCTATTATACAATCTTATGGCATGGTTTTCAATCATTTCTAATCTTGTACGTTTTAGTATATTTATTTTTCATCATGAGTTATTGTTTTTCTTTTTATTGATCAAGAAAAAGTGATATTCATGAGATGTCGCTTTTTACCAATACTATATTTTGATGTTTAAAACATAATTTGATGTTATTACAACAGTTAAATAAAATTATATCTACGCAAAGCCTGGATAATTATTTATAAAAGAAAATATTAATCAATTAGACACTATGCTATCTACTATCAACAAATTTTGAATAGAAATCCAAAAACCTTAGTATTTAATATAATAATAAAAAAAACTTAAATCATTATTTGAAAAATGTTTAAAATGATCTGCAATGCCCTGAAAATATAAGATCAATAGTATATTTTCAATTTAAGACATCGTTTTTTGTTTAACAAAATTTTATGACCTTTTATAAATGAAGAAAGCTTCTTGAAATATTAGATTTGATCATATGATTTTCCACCCAAAAAAAAGAGATTGAAAAATCAAAAGAGTATGGTTTAAGACCTGAGTGAAGCACAAGATCTTGCCTAGATCGCCTTCCATGACTCGCCTTCGTTGCATTACATCATTGATAACAATCTCCATCTCATCCATCAACTCGTTCAATTTCATCACCCTTCTGCCATTCTCAATGTACTTCTCGAGGCAACGTTTTATGTTCCCACGGTTTTGTCCGATCGCTTCTGGGATCCCATTGCCTAACGATCCAGATGGCATTTCCAT